TTGTAAAGAGCTGTATGAATGGGTGAATGAGGCACAGATTGTTGTAAAGAGCTGTATGAATGGGTGAAAGAGCTTTGAGTATCTTGATCAGATAGAAAGGAGCTACGGTCCATTTATCATTTTTAGGCTTTCATATTATTTTTTCTTCCCTCATTCTTTAAAACTCAACATAAACACATATAAACAACTGTGTTACAGGCAGGACAATAAATAAAAAGTTAAAAATATTAAAAGAACTAGTATTCATTGAAAAAGTCATATCACTCGCCCCCTTCCATGCCAACATTTTACACTGTGAACGTCTTGTGTTTGTAAATGAGGGCGTTTTAGTCATTTTGTTCAAACTTTGAAACAATGTGTCAAGTGATCAGAGAGCGCTCACAGTATCTGTTGTGAACGGCTCTCAGCTATTACCACGCCAACTGTTCTCTCGGTGTCTGTAGAACAACTGAATATTGTCTTGGACCGCTGATCAGCTGAGACATCCATCTCAAACTGATTTGTTCCAAACATTCATCAGATGTAATAGTTTCAAAGTGTTTCATTAAAACCCTTTCAGTGAGATATTTCCCTGAAGGTACGAAGCTTCAGCAGCAAAGGTTATCTGTGGAGTGAGGTTGACTTGTCTTTGTAAAGGAACCTGACTTCAGGTTGTAAAGCCTTTCAGGTGTGATTTAAAACAGTTCAAGACAAAAGCAACTGGATTTATTTGTAACAGAAGACGTTTCGCTCCTCAATTCAAAGAGTGGGCTTCAGGTTATAAGGCTGAGCTAAACTAGATACAGATACACATTGCCCTATCACGCCTCACAACAGGAGTTCATTAGGGTCTTTGTTAATTTGACTCCCAGTGGAGCTGCTCTGGTGAATTCCTGATGGGTATCAGTCTGTGTGTAAACCTTCAGCTGTGAGGAAACTTAAAATACATCTCGTGGCAGAAAACCTGGAGGTTGTAGGTTGAGTCATTCAGCAGCGTTCGCCATCAAACACGAGTGATTTCTCTTCAGGCTTCAGGGCTTCCCCACAGAGGGCAACACGTTAGGAGCCGTTCACACCGTTTCCATCGTCTGCTGGTTTGGTGGAGGCTCTCAGTGACTCGGGGGTTAAAATGAGACGAGGGATCAGCGTGGACCCTTTTACTTCCGCTCTCTTGGTGTGACGGGGGCTTTCTTACCCGACGTGACGTCAGAGTTACAAGTCATGAAGTTGTGGTCGCTGCTGCAGATTCTATCGGCACACGAGACCACAAGCAGTTTGTCTGAAAACCCCTATGAGACCACAGGTGCACTTCCTTGTTAACAGAGTCCTCTTCTGACACCTGTCAACTGTTCCAAAACACACAGATCGTCGCCGAGGAAACTAATCAGAATAAGGAGGCGAGGAGCGGCGGCATCCCTCGAGTCAGACAGTCCGGAGACGACCACAGACTTCCGTCATGGACCAGCAGCACATCAAAGTGGAGCGGTTTCTTAAACTGGGATACTCTCACAGTGACATCGTGAGGGTGCTGGAGAGCCTCCGCCACGACGCCCAGACTAATGACATCCTGGAGGAGCTGATAAAAACCTGCCACACTCGCACCCACAGCGACTCCAGCAGCCCCAGCAGCCCCCAGCTAGTGCCCCGAGGCTGCAGCCCTGGCCCCAACAGATCCAGAGCCGGACCGGAGCGAGACGCCACAGGTCTGAGGCCACATGCCGGCTTCAGACCTGTGGTGATAGATGGAAGCAACGTGGCCATGAGGTGAGTCAGCTGCACTGATTTCAAGTCAGACATTAAGAGAGTTTCTCAAATAGAAGCAACCGTTTCCCTCCATAAACTTTAAATTCACCACAAACATCTCAGGTTGTTTTCATCACAGTTTTTAAGAATGTTTCTAATGAGAGAAACTGTTTCCTAATTAAGAGTTTTTATTTGCTTCACCATGATTCTTTATTGTTGGCATACTGTACACTGCACATGTAGGGCAGCACGGTGGCACAACGGGTAGAGCTGCTGCCTCTCAGCAAGCAGGTCCCTGGTTCAAATCCCAGTTTGGGGCCTTTCTGGGTGGAGTTTGCATGTTCTCTCTGGTGGGTTTTCTCCAGTTTCCTCCCACAGACCAACAACATGCATGTGAGGCTGACTGTAACTCTAACGTGTCCCTAGGTGAGAGAGTGGATGGTCCAGGGTGTCCCCTACCTCTCTTATGGGCACCAGTGGAACCCCCCCCCCCCCCACACACACACACACAAAAGGAAGAAGGGGGTAAAAGATAATGTAAAGACAGGAACAAAAGTGACAGTATTTGTGTTTACTCGTCTGCAGAAGCCGTTAAAATGTCAAAACTAAACTTTGGTTTCAGCTCCAACAAAGTTCAGTCAGGTCCCCTGGATGGTTCTTAACCATCCAGGGGACCTGACTGATTTATCTGGATTACTGAGCATGAACTTTGATGTTTGGTTTCGGCTCTTTTAGAGCTGTCTGTGCTTATTTCTCTTCTCGTGTTTCACTTCTCTGATTTGATCAGATTCCACTTCCTCGTTGCAGATGTTGGTGAAAAGATGAGCACTTTTTCTTCTCTTTTGGTGTGTTGGAGCGTTTGGACGTGCTCATGGTTAAAGTTTTAGTCTGAGCAGGTGGACCCTTGTGCAATGATCTTTGCAGTCTGTTTTTACAGAAAACAGTGAACTGGAGCCCTTTGCTGCTCCTACTACCAGTTCAACATGAAACATGAAGCTTGAGCAGTGTGTGTCACACAGTGTGGATAAAACCCACCGGCTCTTTGGAACCCACTAGAACCCAGTAGAACCATGGATCAAGGCTTAGGCCACAGTAAGCTGGACTTTACACGACTCAAGTGGTGTTCAGACAGCATTAATGGTTTTTACACAATCACAGTTTGAACATTCAGGTTTTTGGACATTCTACCAAAAAATTACAGCATCAAGTTACATTCAGGAAGTATTTAAACTTGTGCTTTTATCCAGATGTTCATTTACTTCCATTGTATGTGAAGTCTAAATACTCACATTAAAACAGGAAAAAAGTAACTTATTAACTCATATGTTGTTGGACTCAGACTTTAAGTTTAATAAACAGATAAATTCTGTTCTTCAAAAAAGCTTCTTTCAGCTAAGGCAGATAGCAAAGCTCAAGTCCGTGCTGTCCAGATCCGACCTTGAAAAACTAGTCCATGCATTTATTACAACCCGGCTGGACTACTGTAACTCACTTTATGCTGGGGTCAGTCAGGTCTCTCTCTCTCGTCTCCAGCTCGTACAAAATGCTGCAGCTCGGCTACTAACAGGAACTCACTGGTTTGAGCACATTACTCCAGTTCTGTCCTCCCTTCACTGGCTTCCTGTGCGTGTCAGAGTTGATTTAAGATTCTTCTGCTGACATTTAAGTGTGTTAATGGCCTTGCACCATCATACCTCTCTGACCTTCTTAATCCTTATGCTCCTTCTCGGGCTTTGAGATCATCAGACCAGCTGCTTTTGGCCGTACCAAAAACCAGCTGAAGCTCAGAGGAGATTGAGCGTTTTCAGTCGTGGGCCCTAAACTTTGGAACAATCTGCCCATCAACATTCGACAGGCCACCTCAGTCTCTGCTTTTAAATCTCTCCTAAAAACACATCTGTACTCACTGACACATCACTGACACATCTGTACTCACTGACACATCTGTACTCACTGACACATCTGTTCTCACTGGCACATCTGAACTCACTGACACATCTGTACTCACTGACACATCTGTACTCACTGGCA